AGCGGCGGCGGAGGCGCCCGGGACGCCTGGCTCCGGACCCCGCTGGCCCCCAGCGAGATGATCACCGCGCAGAGCGCTCTGCTGGAGAGGGAAGCTCAGGAGTCCAGCACCACAGACGAGGAGCTCGCAGGCCGGAGAGCGGCCAACGTGAGCAGCGAGAGGGGCGGCGCCGTCAGCACCCCGGACTATGGGGAGAAGAAGCTGCCACAGGCGCTTATCATCGGGGTCAAGAAAGGAGGGACCCGCGCGCTGCTGGAGGCGATCCGAGTCCACCCCGACGTGCGGGCGGTGGGTGTAGAGCCACACTTCTTCGACAGGAACTACGAGAAGGGGCTGGAGTGGTACAGGTAGGAGCCTCGGTTCGCGGGATGGTATAGACGCCTGGCAGACCCGGAGGGGAAGCCGCTCCGCTTTCCAAGCTCCGCAGCATCCAGGCACCACCGCCCCCGTGACCGCTTAGTCCCCCGAGGGCTCTTCTAAACCTGGCGCGGACGCTCAGGGGAGCGGTGGAAAGAGCTGGAAACTGGCCAAGGGCCACTTTACTACAGGGCGAGGGGAGGCAGTGTCAGGGACATCCTCTCTGAATACGCCCAGCTCTAAGCCGGGGACTCTCCAGCCCTCAAGCCGCGGGGTGTTTCCTGACCCAAGCCCCTGCGGGGCTCTGCGCTTCTGTGTTGGGGATGCTGAGGAAAGAATCAGGAGAGGTAGACGGATTTAGGGGCTTTGAGATCCCCTGGAATCTCTCAAACTCTCTGTCAAACGCATTTGCGTGGCCTGAATCCAACTTCAGCATTTTCAGGTTAGAGCAAAACGAGCGAGGAACAGTTGATGATGGCGAGTTTTGGCTTTCTAGTAAAGACTGAGGATATTCCTCATCTCCAGAACTTTCTCTCTCCCTCGGCGAGGAGCTCTGGGTTGATTTGGCGTCAGGAGCTCTTGTCTGCATGACAGTTGGTGCTCTCAGAGTTTGCCTGTCCTGCACCATGCCCTTTCTAACCCCCGCCTCCCTCACAACAGATTGGAGTGTATGCCTTGTGAGATGTTCCTCTCCTTCCTTTTCACCGGCTGTCAGCGGTGCTACAAAGGGGGAAGAGAGAAGTAGAAAGTTAAGTGCAGGTAAAATAAATTAATAATCCAGCTTTCTTGCCAGCCATAATATTTAAAACACACTGATGCCGACATCCAGTATGCACACCACCTTTGCCTTTATTTTTCCCTTCCCTCTTTCCTTCCCTTTCACATCTTGCTAGAAAACAGATCTGAGTGGCTGGCGCATGTGGTTGTATCTCAGTAATTAATTGCAATTGTCAAACAGAAACACAGCCTTTGTCTGTTAAAGTGATATTATCATTCTAACAGAGCCAATAGGTAAAATAAGGATTGTTTCCTGACAAGTCATCTTCCTGTTGAAGAGCCTTGCTTTCTAAGTTTAAATTACAGCCTGAGAAAGTCTTGGAAATAACTCAGAAATACATAATAAATATATGTTTTGTGATTGATTTTTTCCACTTTAAAAAATCTGCCTTATGCTTTCAAAGCTTCAGAGAAGTACACTTAGGCATAAACATTCCAGCACATGAAACTGAACCAGCAAATATGTCTGTTAATGTCTTGTCTGTTTCAACAGAAAGAACTAATTGCAATATTTTAAGAGGCTTCAAACAGCCCCTTCCTATCAAAACATAAAACAGCAAATGCCTAATTTAACTGGAAAAATCAGTACTTATAACATCACAAGTCATGGCTTCCAGTTTGCGGTTATAATTAAAAAAGTGTTAGAATGATTAATGCAACAACAGCAAAATAGAGAAAGGGTCTGATGTCTGGTTTCTGTTGTTTAACTGTTGGTGAGAGGACTGTCCTGGCTTCTGCTGTGGTAGTCTTAGGAGCCTAACTGGCTTTTTTCCATTCTAATTTTAAAGCTGTATATCTTGTGAGAAGTGCAAATGCCCTTTGAGGGAGAGGGAGGCACAGAGATCAAATCTTTCTAACATGTATTTGGATTGTTTTGCAGTGGCTGGGAGTAGAGAAAGGATTGTTTTATTCAGGTGACTTAAAGTTGATGAAGTGTGTGTGGTGGAATGTATGTAAGGACATCCAGGGTTAGGTGTAGAGACTTATCTGAATAAAGGGGTAGAAGATGTGAGATTTTCTTATGCTTTCTTGTAACAAGGCTGGGAAAAGAAGGCATATAAACTGCCTTGCTGACATTAAGGGGGTACTGATGGTATTATTCCAGCTCTGTGATATTTTATCGCTTGTGGTGCTGGAACTCGATGTCAACCCTTGGGATGCAGCAGGAGAAATGTCAGTGAGAAAAGATGTGGACAGAAAGGGATTCCTTGATCCTTACTTAAGAGGACCATGTGATACCTCTGGGTCCTCTACCCTCAACCCAAATGTCTCACCTCTGGTAGTTCCTGATAATACTTAGTGTTGCTGAGCAGAAGTACTGGCACAGAATCTTCCTAACACAGACAAAACCATTAGCCACTCAGGCGTGGCTGTTGAGAAGTCTCCAGAAACTCCTTGGGCCCAAGGAGCAAAGTGTGCTGGAATTAGCCTTGAGTAGCTCTCCAACCTTTCTAGGGACAGTTGTGCTTTGAGGCCATTTGTGGGATTTTCACAAATGCCATCTCTTCAGGCACCGGCTCCTCTGGATCCTCAGGCTCCTCTGTCTCTCTGATAGGAAGAGGAAATGACACCCTTACTACAAGCCAAGAAGAGGAAACAGTGGCACATTCACACCAGGAGCAGCAAGCCTCCCTTTGGGGTTCCTGGTCCACCTCTGAGTCTGAAATAGTGGCATCTGTGCTTAAAGGGACCACCTCCTCCACGTGGGCCACATGGCTAATCCAGAATCTTACTCTGCTGTTTGGCCGATTAGAGAGCCACACGTTAACTGAAGGTTTTCATTCTTCCTGTCCCCTACTTATTTGTTTTGTCTTTTTTTCACTTTTCAACTTGCTTCCCGAAACCCTACTAATTCTGCAAATATTTCTGCTACTTGTGTCTTCGGTAAGAGTGAGAGCAAGAAGACCCTTGGGCCACCCTGGACAAAGCTGGCTGTCTTCATAGCCCACTAAGCAGCCCTAGCAGTTTTATTTCCTAGGTGTGACTCCAGTAGTGCCTAAATCCATTTGCTTTCTGCTTATGCTGCTGCTCTCCTTTGATTTAAAGACACATGTGAGAGTAGAGCATGTATATCAACTTGCCAGGGCGAGATGGACTAATGATTAGGATATGTGTGATGCAGCTATGCAGAAGCAAGCTTCCCTTGGTGGATTGACACAAGCCAGTGGCTAATAATTGGGGGGGATGATTTGAATTAACCCTTTGCTTCTGCTGCTCATTTCTCACCCCGCTACCTCTCCCCCAGAAAGAGCAAAGCTACATGTACATTACAGGGTGACTTGGTGCCAACTGTCTACATAGGCCTTATCTTTTGGGAAGGGATGGGACTACTAGCTGGCTACCCCAGAACTCCTCAAACTGACAGAGGCAACTGAAGCTGCCCTGCCCTCATGGTTTCCAAAATGTCAGTGACCTTGACCATGTTGGTTGGGAACCTCATGGCCCCAGTACCATGAGGAGTGACCTTCCATGGATTCAAGCTATCTTCACTGCCAATAGTTAACTCTCCAGTCTTCTTGGCTAGGGGAAAAGAGCTCAGGACAGCCAGCTTAATAGTCTGCTCATGTGGCCAGAGGGAAGTGGTCAGAGCTTTCTTCACATGTGGTGTCTGGGGAGGGACTGAACGGGATGATGGAAAGGCACAGGCATTGATGGAGTTTCTGCTCCTGAGGTAGTTGGTGCTTTGTAGAGGTTTCTTCACATCTGGGTGTCTTGGGGAGGCCACGAGCTAATGCAGCCTTTCTGCCTTCCAGTAGCCCCCAGAGGGTGAGACGTGCGCTCTGTGGCTCAGCTGCTTGATGGTTGACCTGATCATGCCTTTCCTGCTCCAGACAGCTGGTTTCTTCCTGGAGCCACAGGTCCTCAAGTAATGTGTTACAGGTCTTTTCCTTTCTGCTTGCTTTCATTGAATAAACATTTAATATTTACTGTGTGCCCAGGACTGTTTGGGTGAACAAGACAGAAGCAGCACACCTGTTGCCGGGAACCTGCATTTCAGCAGGGTGTGAGGGAGACAGCCTATAGCCAAAGTCCTCCCTTTTACCTTTTTAATGTGGCTACTAGAAAATGTAAAATTACACTTGTGACCCACATAATGTTTCCCTGGATAGCAGGACAACACTGCCTTACAGCAGTGCTTGTAAAATTTTGAATGCTCTTGAATCACCTGAGGAAGTGTTAGCAGGCAGATCCCGAGCAGGGGGTCTGGGGAGGGGCCTTCTGACTTCTTGGTGACACTGATGCTACAGAACCCTGGGCTCCACCTTGAGCAGCTTTTGTGAGCTGGCTTGTCACTTAAAGTGATTAGGGAAAAACCTCTCTATGGAGATGGTGTGAATGAAATAAAAGCCAGGTCCTTGCATGTGAAGACCTGAGTGGAGAGGTTTCCAGCAGAGGTTACAGATGCTGCAAGGTTCCTGAGGTGGAAATAAGCCCTTGACTTTCCAAAGTATCCATTCACTCTTCCAAAGACATGGTATTTGTAGCTGAACAAAACCAGCTTAACAACCTTATACGGTTTAAAACTTACTAAGGGTGATCTTGGTTGGCTAACTTACCTAACATCACTAAGCTTCAGCTTGTTTACCTGAGAGTAACTCCTTCTTTGCAGAAGTGTTGGTGGGGGTAAATGAAGTAACAATTGTGAATGTATTTGCTAAATGACTATCCGAGAGCAGAATCTAGTGGACGCACTAGTGAACTTTCCATTTCTCATCCACTTGGGTCTCCTATGCTTTACCCTCTATCACAGCTGTCATAATGCTGACCAAAGAGTCTCTTAACTGCAGATGTTTTTGGGAAAAGTCTAGCAGTGGTTGGCTGTTGCAAACTACATCTGCTTAACCTTCCAACCGGAGTCACCAACCCAGACCTGCTGGTTCCACATGGATCATACAAATGATTGGCACAGACCTAGCTGGGCTGAGGTTGGGTGGTGGGGAGGGATGGGCTGCACCTGCTCAGTGAAGGGCCTGCTCAGCTGTTTCTCTGTTCCAGCTACTTTTGTGCAGGTGTAAGTTGTGGTTACTAGGTCTTTCATTTTGTAAGAGAAATTGGAAATCCACATTTTCATGTGAAATCTTCTGGTTTTTAATGTTGGCAACAGACTGAAATTTCATAAAAGCACTGAGTGGGCCAGCACTTCAGGGCAAAGAAAACACATCTGTGGGCCAGATTCAGCCAGCTGGGTACCAGTGTGTGACCCTGGGTTTAA